GCTCCCCAGCCTCCTCCCACCCACCGACAGCCCCATCCATCAGCACCTCCCCCTTCCTTCCCACAACTCCCAATCAGCTGTTTGTTGGCGTGCAGGAGGCTGGGGGGGGGGGAGGTGAGGGCACGGCAGGCTCAGGGGAGGGGGCGGGAAGGGGTGGAGTGGGGACAGGGCCTGTGGCAGAGCCAGGGGTTCAGCAGTGAGCACCTCCGTCACATTGGAAAGTTGGCGCCTGTAGCTCCAGCCCTGGAGTCGGTGCCTGTACAAGGGGCCACATCTTAACTTCTGAAGAGCCTTATGTGGCTCCGGAGCCACAAGGTCACCACCCCTGCTGTAGGGGGCACGGTTGCTAGTTCGAGGGACCCTCCCACTCCCCCAAGTTCCCTGCATGGGCAGCGGTGTCAGGGGACATGTCCTGTGACTGGCATTGCCAGCCCAGCCCCAGGCTTCCCTGAGGCAGCCCCAGTTCCAGCAGTCTGGGGCGAGGACATGGGGTTGGCGTTCGTCGGCTCCGTGTGCTGTCCCGGCTCAGGGAGGGTCACCAGCCCGGCAGACCTCCATCGAAGTGCCCAGACAGCCCAGAGTCGGATCAGTGGTGAAGGCGCTCGGCCGGGTTTATCGCCAATGCAGCCCAGTGCCAGCGCCCATAGATGCCACAGGGACACTGCCACACGTCTGCCTCTGGCAATGGACCCCGACAGTTACAGACTGAGACAAACCATCTGGGATAAATGACTTACGTACCAGCTTGTATGTTTCACAACATGCTTGTTACCTCCCTCCCCCCGCCCTTCTCCTTGTGCCTTTCTCCTGCTCTTCAGACAAAACTTCCCTTATTCACCACCTGGCTTTGTACTTTACTTCTGATGCTTCAGACAAAACATTCCCCACCCCTCAAACCATCTTATCGTGCACTAAGCAGGGGAATCTTGTGCTGGGATGTGGTTACACAGTCACTGGGTTTTGGCAATACCGGTGCTGAGTTCGTGCACCGGACGGTGAACTTGCAGGCAACCCTCTGCTTTATGACAGGATGTGACTGGTGCCTGGGGGGCCACACTGAGATTGCTCAACCAGGGCAAGCTGCAGAGTGGGGCCGACAATCCCCCAAACTGCTGGTTAGTTCTGATACTTAGATTCACCAAGCCAGCAACAAAACAGCTGCTCCGGTACCGTGCTGCTCACCCAGAAGCCAGAAACACAGCTACCGGCTACTTTTCTAGTGTGGCTTTAAAGGGAAAATTTGGGTCATTTAGCCTGCATGTTGCATAACCCTTTCTGGCTCAGTGTCCCACAGGGCCGCACTTTTGCTCAGAGCATCACTTCTGCTGACTTTGGTTCGGGCCTTGTACCAGGCCCCTGCTCCAGGCTCTCTCTGCTCCAGCTCCATGTCGCTCCCCCAGGGCAGCGCTGTGAGAGGGCATGTGCTGGGACTGGCATTGTGTATAAGCACCGACTCAGGGGCTGGAGCTACAGGCGCCAACTTTCTAGTATGCCCCAGGCTTCCCTGAGACACCCTGACTTCTAGTGGTGTGGCGCGGGGACACATGGGTTGAACAGCTCTGAGTTTCCCCAAGGCACAGGCCGAGAGGTCTCTCTGGGCTCGCAGTGCAGTGGATTTGGAGACCCCTTTGCGCTGGTGAAGCTGGCGCATGTACCAATGCCGGTCCCCTGGCAGGGGATACCCACATGCTGGTGTCTCCACCGGGGGACACTGGAAGCTGCCAGCTGCTAAATCGCTTTGTGCTGGTCCCTGTCTGTGCTCCCTGACCCCCCGAGTCAGCAAAGCACATGCTTGGCTCCAGCCATGCCCAGCTACGCACTTAACTCGGCTCCAGTGGGTCTCAAGTGCATGGCTGAGCTCGTGTCGACAATCCCAGGCACTAAAAAATATCACATTCACTTAGAAAATCACGAGCTTTAGAAAGACCAATGAGCCAGGGGCAGAGTGTGGAGTGAATTGAATTAAAGAGGGGGAAAATTCAAAGAATATACAAGGAAATACTCCTCCACCTGGGGCAGCAGTAGCCTCTGGAACTCACTGCTACCATGTCTTGGAGACTGTATATGTGTTGAGTTTTAAAGAGGGACTGGCTGTTTCTATGGGGAAGGACAATGCCTGGAGCTGTGCTAGTTAATGGACAATAATTCTGGGAGGGAGGGAAAAGCTCCCACTTCAGGGCTTAAGCCACCCTCCAACTATTAGAGACCAGGTGGAGTCCTTCATGAGGGCAGATTATCCCCAGCTGCTGCTGTGGGACTCTTAGAGTACGTCTTCACCACCCGCCATATCGGCGGGTAGCAATCGATTTATCTGCGATCGATATATCGCGTCTCGTTAAGACGCGATATATCGGTCCCCGAATGCGCTCACCGTCGACTCCGGAACTCCACCAGAGCGAGCGGCGGTAGCGCAGTCGACGGGGGAGCCGCAGCCGTCGATCCCGCGCTGTCTGGACCCCAGGTAATTTTCGATCCAAGATACTTCGACTTCAGCTACGTTATTTGCACCTTCCTCTGTAGCACCCGTCGCAGATGGGATACCGGGGTATATGGGCCTTGGGGCTGACCCAGGCTGGCAATGCCTGTGTGTTCCTCTGTGATTGGAACCTGAGGGGGATTTCTGCCAAGTCCCAGTGTACCCACCCCTTGGGCAACTCAACTTCACACATGGACTCCTAAATCTCCCCAAATCTTGGCCCCACTAGGGCTTGGTCCATAGAGGCCACAGTGGCTGTTCTGGGGTCGGAAGGTCCCCTTCCCTCTGTTATGTTCACGGCACACACACAGTTAGACACAAAGCATCACATCCTCTCGTTGGCAGGCTGCAGCTTAACACAGGGTTATTCTTAGAATCCAGAACCCCAGCACACGAGGGCCCCGAACAGAGAGAGACAAAGCAGGCTGCTCCTGAAGGCAGACGGGGACAACTAACCCCACTTTGCTCTAGGCTGGTCCTTTGGCAGATACACGGCTGAAAACCCCAGATCACATGCTTCTCACCCGAGCTCTCTAGCCCGCAAGCAGGTC